TATTTTACTTTCTACTTTTACTCTACTCTCTTCTTACTATTACTATAAAGTTACTCTGTTAATCTGTTTTTCCTACTCTACTCCACATGCCTCATCAGACCACTCCAGGTTCCACTCAACCCCATCACATCTAACCGCACCACACTTCAGCAAATCACACTACACGTCTTCATACTTCACATTATTACCAGCCCTGCACGCTGGAGGTGGAATGATACTAATAATTACTTAATGTTTTCATATATTAACGTAACAATTTTCGTAGAAAAATTTGGTAGAAGATAGGGTAACAAAGTACATCTTCTTCATAACAACCTATACTCACTGTATTATGATTCTCCTTATTTGTTAAATTATAACTTATTCATAAAGAAGATTTAATTTTTATGAAGGTGTTATTATAATTAATAAAAAAATGAAATTGACCTTCAAAAATCTAAACTAATAAATATTCTTTTAAAAACTTGAGGATTACTTTTAATTTGGTAAAATTTATTATTTATTAATACAATTATCATTTGTCTTTATTCTGCACATGTTTAATCTAGAGAAACGATATAAATATTTTGCAATATTTTGGTTGTTTTTAAAAATTTAAGTTTTGGAAATTACAAAAAAATTTGGCATTCTCCCTGAAATTTGGGGAATCCCCTTTCGCGAAATTAAAAATAGTTGGGTTCTTTTTAGTTAAAATTTTAAAGGGAGTACACATTAAATTATGAGAAAAAATTTAAAGTTAGAGAACGTATTCTGAAAACTTTTTAAAATTTGGGCCGGGTTAAATTTACACCCTTTACACAACAAATTTGTGTTTACATAGACTTGCCCAAAAACTAGCCATTTCGATGGAAAATTTGTATTATATAGGGACGGGTTCATATAATAAAACAAATCGGCTGTGATCAGGCGGGTACTTTACGGGATGTGCTGGTTTGTTTTTTGTCTACTTGTCGCAGGTTATAATTTTCTTGGGTCAAATTTTTTTTTAAATATCATTAAGTATTTTTTTATATTTTTGGACAAAACCAAAAACATTTTAAAGGGATGTTTTTTCCAAAATTTTTGATGAATTTGTTTTGGACATGTGCATTAGGTTTAGAAAGAAAATATAATGTTCCATTAAAACACTTGTCAAAACCATAAGCTCAAATTTTAAAAAAAAGGGATACATGTGCTAAACAGCCCGGGTGTTTATTCCCAATAATAAAAATAAAAACCAAATTTAAAACTTTTTGGGGAAATTTATAGGAAAATCAATCTAAAAAGTGTCAAATAAGAAAAACGGGATGCTAATAAAAATTGTAAAAAATAGAAAAAACATCTTAATTTTCATCAAGGGGTTCAATTTCTTGGTCCCGACCCCAAATTTACAGTTTTAATTTTTTGGTTATTTTTAATTACAAGATTAAACAAAAAACCCATCTATGCAGGCTCGTTTTCCTTTCAAGAAAAAAATTTTTGGGTTTAAAGGGGGACTCGAAGGGAATAGGGGTGCCGTGTCAGGGACAAAACCAACAAAAGGGGTTTTTTCCCGGACCACCCATGGATCCAACCGGGGGTACATGCTTTTTTGCTTTTAAATTTCTCAATTTTGAAAAGGGTTGGTTTAAGGCGAACAGCTTTGGGCCTGTTTCAGACTGGCGGTTTGCGCAGGGGGGGTTTGGATCCATGCTTGTTTGCAAAATTTATTAGGGTTTTTTTTTTGGTCATGACGGGGCCCTAAAAATTTCCCAGAACTGGAAAATATAGCAAGGGTTCGACCGTTTTTTCGATCCCCAAGATATAACTATACGGTTTTTTTTATTCCCAAACATTTTTACTTTTTTTTAAAAACATATTTTGACATTTTTAGGGTTTACCCTGGGCGAACCTTTCACAACTCAAAAAATTTCTGGTAAAATTTCGGGCCCCGTTTAATTTTCCCTTTTTAAAACAGCTTTTAATCATATATTTTACAGTCACTTTCCGTTCTAGGCAAAAATTGACGAGACACAGTTTCATCAACAAGCTTTTGTATGTCAGAAGATATTTAACAATTATCAATTAACGGATGTTACATTAAATTTAAAAAGAAGTGTAATGTTAAATGAAAATGCATTCTTTTTTTAGCACCAGTTCCTTCCCCCTCCCTATTCAAGTTTAAAATGATATAATTGTAGAATGTAAAATACATATATAGGAAAAGAAAACCGTTGGGTTATTCATTAAACATGATGCACAAGACCTATCTGTTTAAATACTTAGTATGGTTAATATTTTAACTAACTTAAAGGGCATTAAGCAAAATATTATGTTAATATACTTTTGGTTTGGTACTATTTCAAGTAGGGTTTTAACCATTGTGTAATGATTTATTAAATGTGTTATTCGCTTTAAAAATGCTACCATGTTTCTTTCATACAAGTATTTTGAAAGTTATTCTTTTTTGAAATTAGAAAAACATATTTTGCAGCAGATATATACAGTAGTTTCATACATTTTTAATAGCTAAATGCTGTATCTGTTTTAATAATGAATCATATAAAATTACGGCAATACTATGTATGTTCAATTACTTTTCTTTTCAAGACAAATTACGAACAATCACTGTCAAACCGAGCTTGTATGTGTTCAATTCGCTCTTTGAGATATCAGTTTTTCTATTTTGATTGGTGAAACAAGGCGGCAATCTTCAAAGAACAAATAACGCGACCAGATGACCAGTTATCGTAATTTCAAGTACACGTTTTGATGGAATTAATGGTCAGAATTCGCGAATGTCTCGCCTAATCAAAAGTTCCGAATATAATTACTAGTCGTGGTCAGATATTAGCCCTTTGGGAGGTTGAATCATGATAATCAAAGTGACATGTCGAGAAGATAATTATTTAGAAACGGCGTGTGTATGCATGTATGACTCCAAGCCTCATAATAAACTTAGCGCGTAAAAAATATATTTCTAAAAGCCCTATAAAGTTTTCATTTAGTTGGTGGAATTTTTTATATAAAAAAAATCTTTGACTATATTTAGTCATACTGTTTTTAGCAACTTTAATTCAAACACTGTTGTTTCTGTTTATAAACATGTATGTATAGAATGCCATATTGGAAATAAGTTGTATGTTTATTAAGTACTCTTAATCTGTCACCTTCTCAAAATATAGTTATTATTATTATAATTATTACTGAAACTGTTTTAAATGTGTTCGAAAATAAATAGGATACCCACATTTAGGTAAACATGTTTAAACAAAGGGTTTTATTACTAAAATACAGGGATTCATTTTTTTTTTCTTTAAAAAAAAATTTTTTGAGCATTTCATCTTAACCCGGCCCCATTTTGGAGGTTTCGTCATTGATTAGGGAAAAAAATAAAAACACTTGGGAAATTTAAATTTTAGCTGGGTTTTTGGGTTTTATTCTTTATCACCAAATTTTTTCCTTGTTTTTTAAAATTTGGGAATTTTTTTTATCCCTTTATGGGATTCATTTTACTCAATTTAATGCCAAGATTTAAAAAAGAAATTTTTGGGGTAAAATTTATTTTAAAAACCATATATTATTTTTGAAGTAAAAAAAACAAAAATTCCTTTTCATAATATTTGGGTTTTTTCTAAAAAAAATCGGTATTTTACATGGATAGGGCCCAGGGGCCCCAAAAATGTCATTCTTATATTCTCGTTAACTTACAATCTTTAAAAACCGTGGGGGCAGGCAACCTTTCTGGCCCACATCCCCCAAAAAACATTTAGTAAACCCCCATTTGCCACGAGTTATTCTTTTTTCAATTTTTCATAATGAAAAATTTTTATTTTACTAAAGGGGGCAGTATGATTATTATTTTAAAACCCTTGCAGTATCATTCTCATCAAAATTTTGAAACCCAATTGCGACTTTTAAAGGGCTTTAAGCCCTTTTTCGGCCCCGTACAACCCCTTTTCAGACACTTTAACCTTTTTCGGACATTTTTGCCGGTTAAATTACATTTCCCGTGCTTTGCATTCCCAAAAATTTATAACATGTTATTTGTTTTGCTTTACAATTTAGGATCTTTTAAACAATTTTCTTATGCGAACAAAGGGAAAAATTAGGGTGCCCCCTTTTAAAAAAAATTTGATCGAAATTTTAATCGATTATACAACCCCTTTTTTTTGGGACGATTGTAAAAAATTACAAAATAAAAATGCGATCTACATGGCATTTATTCAATGTAAGTAACATGTTATATTCAAATATATAAAATGTAAATATGAATAAAACTAATTTACAAAAATGACAAAATTGCATGATACGTTGATGATTAAACAGCTTAATATTAAATTAATGTAAGTATATAAACAATGTGAAATGTGTGCTAATTTAAAAAAGGAAAGCTTTAATTATATTTTGCGTCGACAATAACAACAAAGTTGTATAAGATAAATCTCTAAATGTGCTTTGATAAGAAAGAAAAGAAACGTGTGCTGACTCATTCCAAAATATAGTAGCTGATTATGAGTCAATGAACAATAATATATATGGGAAACAAGATTGGATAAATGTATAAAGGTGTTAACAACAACAACATCAGAAAGCAAACAACACAAAATAACAGGTACTTTGAAAAGAATAAAACTAATTTCTTTAAAGAGCCCCAAAAGGGACTCGTCGGGTTTGGTAGTTTTATAGCAAAACCCTGAGCTGAATAAAGGAAAAAATTTTTTTAATAGTTTCATCATTTTAAAGGCCCCCTAAATTTTCTAATTTTTCCCTTTTCTTTGAGCGTTTCCCAAACAAAAGAAATTTCTAATTTTAAAAGTAAAACATATATAACGGCTGTCAAAATCAAAAAAGTTAAATCATTTTTTTAGAAACATTTGGGGCTGTTTGGGAAAAAATTTCAATAAATAAAGGGCTTTTTTTAAAAAAACATTTACAAGATTACTGTTTGAAAAAAATGTTTAATATTCCTTCCAAAACTACGCTTGTTTTAATTTTAACCCCAAATTTGGGTAATCACAAAGCCCAAAACTTGTAAGCCGTTCTTAATGAAATGCTTATAACTAAAGTTATATGGGCTTACGACATTGCTCATCACTAGGATGTATCAAATTGACCTTCATAAATGCACTTTATGATCACCTTTTTCGCTAAATAATTGGTGTTTGCAAGGAAAAGGCCATCTTCACAAATTGTTGTAAAATTTCTTTAGTGAATGTCTATACTGTAGCTAAAAGTTCACATAAAATTGTGAATGAAATAAGTAATTAGATATTAATAATGTGAGGACTGTAACATTAAGCACATCCGGCGTTGGCTTTTAAATTTACATATACGCTAATGACGAAACTGCTTAGGTCTTCTTGTCACATATTTGGATTTGATATTTGAAAAGTTTTATTCACGTGTCTTTTGGCTCACCGACTTTGAGATGTAATGACGAAACAACTGTAGATGAATTGACTGGGGGTGTAAATGTACTCATACTGTTCATGTTAACAGAGTTCATATAGTCTAGTACAATCTCGTGACAGTACCGATATTGTTCCTGAAAGAAAAATGATACACTTTTTAATGTCTGTAATAATATCGTACATGTATAATATACGTTTTCATATATGTTAATTATGACTTCATTTCGATTTTAACTCTAATACAAAGTGTTGTATTTTTTCATTTAGTTTATGACAATCAATCAGTCTAACAAGTAATGAATTTAGCTATTATCTTCACATAACGATTTTCACATAAAGGAATAAGGTAATGATTACATTTTAGAAAAGTAATGACATTTTAATGACAAAATATGTGTTTCAGAACGGATGCTAATATTTAATGAGATTACTTAAACTTGGGAAAAGGTAACTTACCAAATTGTCTACCAAATGTGATCTACATAACCTAAGCTGTTTCACTGTTTGGAAGACATCAATTTCTTTTTCAAGTTTTAGGCGTTCAATAAGTATGCTCACAGCACAATATAAACCACTTCGATAAGCACCATTCCTGCAAGAAATAGATTCATAATTGTTACTTAGCTGTTCTTATAGAGATATTCCACCTGAAGTAATTGTACGTATGCATTTTAGTATATATCTTAATCCTTTACACTGAAGCACTGTATAATTAAGCATTCTAAAATAGATTCCTCTGGTACATTTGTTTACTTTTTTCATTGAAACGTCAAGATATAATGTTGTATGATGAGATATATAACTTTGTCACAGGAAATACGTTGAAAACAAATAAATAAATAAATTCAAAGATTGAAAACGCGGGAGTTTCGTTTGTATGTGCAAGTTAAATAAAAGTAATTTCGGGTATAAATGATCTTACATGCAGTGAACAACAACTGGTTTGTTTCCACTGTGTCTTTGACATGTATCCACCATGTCAAGAAGTTCAAATAGAGCAAGTTTTGAACTTGGAACCGGAGAATCATCAACCCATCGATGAAAATGAAACTGACGAACAACTTTTGGCACAGCATGTGGCTAAAATATATGTCATAAATGATACTATATATATTTTATTTTAGTGAAACTATTTCAGAAACTTTTGGAAGCACATGACATAAAGTGTTTTAAGTTAGTAGCATTAATATTTTTGACCTGTTGATATTTGACTTGTATTGCTCGGTTCTGCTAACAATTGCAAAATTGTGACCTCGAATTGATGACATATTATTATTGCTTAAACAAATTGGTTATACATGAAGATATAATTAATAAGACTAACGATTAGGAAACCGTGAACAATTCTTTGCAAACATAGTGTAATATAATAGGAAAATCATTGTCTCCAGTTAAACAATTTTTGCTAAATTATACATATGTTTGTGTCCTGTAATGTAAAGTGATAAGTAAATCCATGCTTTCGAACATTTGAAAATACACTTTTATTATCTATACTTTATATAAAATAGCGTTTGTGTTTACCATGTCAGTATTTGTAATGGAAAAATCACGAATAGTAATGCTCGGGTCAGATTTGATCTCGGCGGTGGTCTCTACTATAAAAGGTCCATACTTCTCACCACATGATTCTAGTGTCCAGTACTGTTCACAAGTCTGTAAAAATTGTGCCAAAACAAAACTTGAATCAAACAAATAATCAAACGTATTTCATATTTACTTCTTACACATCCCTGTATATAAGATCATTCATATACATACAACTAAAATATTATTAAGTATTTACGTCGTGTCATATTTAATCTAATAAAAGTGAAGAACCAAACACCTGAAATTCAAATAAAATAAAATGCATGTTTTCTATTTCAGTAGCATAATTTGGTGCAGTATTAGTCTTCTTAAAAATAAAAATGCATTGAAATACTTATAATAACTTATTATGGCTTAGTACTTTTGATAAAATACGTTTCGAAATACAAAATACATGATGGTTTCATTTTAGTAAATAAAATGATTTAAAGAACGAATTTGAATCACATTACATACCTCATCGCACTGGTCCACCTCGTTCAGCATGACTATGGCGGCTACATTGTGATCATGAATGAGTCGCCAAAAGTCTATCACAGTATTTGGTAGGGGCATTTGTGTCAAGACAAATCCATCTCGACGTGTGTAGCTCTGTAGTGAAATAGGTGACGATAATAATATAGGCAATGTTTTCTACGATATACCAACTACATTTGACAATCGCTTACCTTAATACTTAACCAATATGAAACACAAAAAAATTGCCATTGTCTCAAATTTTTAATGCGTTTGTCAGTTTAATTTCCAATAATACCTCTGCAATATCTTTTAATCACTAAATTAAAGTAAATATTCTACAAAACACTTTATCCTACTCGAAAAACATTTACCAGACATTAAAACAACGAACGAGACTTACGTTGCAGAAAATTGCATTGATATAGTCGTTGCAACCTTCGTATGGCGTCATCAAAAATGGACGACACCGATTTGCTGGTATAATATTTTTGCATCTATTTTTGAAAATATTTTCGGCCCTGAGAGCTGTCGTGCTTTCGTCCCTTTCTATTGTGGTCGTAATAAGTCGTAGTATCTATAAGATATGATCATGGTTAAAAGATACGTTGCATGAAATACAGACCGACCTTGCGATACTTGTCAATATGAGATTTGGCGACTTAAATACTTAATTTAAACCATAAGTAAGATATCATGAATACAGACAAACATCAACCATTTGCAAATTGTGAAAGACAGTTCAATTTAAATTTCTAAATGTATCACTTCCCACATGGCAGTGTACTTTTAAAATAATTACCTCGAATTGTTCCTCTAGTTTGGTTTTTTGTATGGTATTGTCAAACTGACACATCTCTGAGAGAATATCTTGGTATTCATCAGCTCTCATTAATGTATCTCCGCTAATCAAAGCCTCTAGTAGACAGTCATACACAAACACATATTGGTCCTAAATGTATAGAAAGTAAATGAGATAATTTACTACAAAAATTCAAACAAAGTAATACAACACGACTAAGTTATTTATTCTCTCTGTAAAAAATAATTTAAATAACACAAGATAAGATATAAAACAATTCTTGAATGTGTAGGAAAAAAAATATAATTTCATTATTTAACAACTATATAAACAGAGATAAAACTTCTTGAAAGACGTACATACCATGGTTTGTACCATATTGATTCTCTGTGTTCTCATAAGTTGAACAAAGTTGTGGACGTCTATGATACCTTCGGTTTTCGCCCTCTCCAATTCTACATCTATTGCAATATACGACCCCGTTCTCCCAACTCCAGCACTATAAATTGTTAACATCAAATATATAAAGATCAACTGTTTTGGTTTATTTTTGCAAGAGAAGAATGGTTTTTCGTTTATTTTATTACCATACATGATATATGCTATATTAATTATAAAGATTTTATTTACACTTTATTTCAATTCCGTAATGACTCGTCACATCTTCATTTTCAACACATATCTCACCTGTAATAAAGGTATTTTCTCACCTGCAATGAATCACTTGTGGTCCTGCGTCTAAATTGTCATGTGATCGTATTTTCTGCCGAAGTAATAAAAGAGAGCTGCTGTATTTTGGTACCCCATGGTCAGGCCACGTTGTGTAATGGAACTGTTTAACCACCCGAGTCTCATCGTCCTACATGTTCAATGAAGAGAGAATTATAATGTTTCCGTTAAGGCAGCATTTTCTAGATTTATGCTCAATTTCACGAAAAGTTTGAAAATGTATTTTATAGTAAAATATTGTGACGCTTTTACTGCGTTAGTCATGCAAGTGAAGTATGATGATATATACTGCAAAATTATTCATTAATCGCACGTAGCATGTACATTATTACTTAAATCTTTAATCTTTTAACATTAAAATTTCTTAAAATCTTAGATCATTTTTCTAAAGTTTGGGGTTTTTTAAAAATTATTTTAGCTCATCTGGAGGTAGGCAGCTTTAAAGGCATGCGAAATAAAATGTTCCATTTTACATGATTAAGTATATGCTATAAAGAATTGAAGGATATGTACGAGATGTTTGTTGCTTTATATATTAAAGAGAAAGTAAAGAGGTATCCTAGTAAGCTATGTTTCTTTTAGAAAAGGAAATTTCAATATATCAAATATCTATTCTCAAATACCTTTGCAAGTTTAAATGTTCTGGTTGTAAAGTCAGGGAGATCTGATGTACCAAGACATTCAACAGTAATACCATGATGTGATTGTACCTCATCAGCAGGCCAATACGACTCGCATTTTTTCTAAAAGAAAAAATTAAACGATATTAAATTTTATGTTCAAAATGTTATCAGAATAAATATGATCAAAAACATATATATATAACAAATCTAAAAACATAATTGTTACAGGAAATTTAAATTGAATATGAAATTCAGCATCATTACATACTTTTCCAGTTTCTGTAGGATTGGTCAACATGATAATAGTTTTGGATTGTTCTTGCCAAACCATCCTCCATATATCCTTCAACGTTTCTTTTGTTGGTCCTGCAATTAAAGAAAAAAAATACTCTTATAATGTACTGATTTAAATGCCACATTTAAATAATAGTTATGTTTGATAAAAGTATGATAATTATAAGAAAACATTGATAGTTAAATCTTAAACTCAGTTAAGAAAGTGTTAAATAAAGTAATAACACATACCTTGAGCTGCTATATACGCCTTCGACTTGTTATACCCCTGAAGAAAAAAATCAAAACAAATATCGTATTACTTATTCTTGAATAAGTTACTAAATCATGTTTGCCGTCCTTTTTATAGCAAATAGTACGACTTGAAAATTATAAATTGTTTTGCTAGCTATGTCAGTATTACAACAAATACCATAATCAAACAAAACATTCATTGTTCAATAAAACCCTTATTGGTACATTTTAAGACAAAAATGTTAAATCAATCGTTCATAACAAGTGTAAAGATGCTGTAGTTGTAATGTGATTAAATTGGTACATTTTATCTATTTCGCATTGTGATACTCACGTCAACATAATTTGCATTGATATAATCATCATGTTCGTCTTCATAGTCATGTAATACAACTCTAGTATGATCATCTGAAAATAACATTTAATTTATATATAAAGGCGAATTACCATCCTTTATCTTAAAAAAATGTACAATCCTTTATCACACAATATTTTCAACTGGAAAAATCCTTAACAATAATATACGTTTCAGAAATTTATCTTGTTTAAATGAATAAGCTCACACAAGAATGTGTGTTGTTTTTTATTTCTTCAAATTTCTTCCTGCATTGCATATAGAAACAAATTTCAATGACTTTAATGATATTTTATTGTTTGACTTACATGCAACAATATTTCCATATCTGTTTTTATTCTTGTTTTCACACTTTCTTGCTGCCTCACACATTGCTGTGATTCCGGCCGGTATCAGCTGAAAGGGCGAACAACATCTCATTAAGTCTAATCAAATCAAATTACTTGAATCAATTGCAATAACAAGAATCTCTTGCGCTTGATATAGTGCGCTAAATGCGGAAATGTGATGTTGTCTCACCTTGTATTCTCTTCTGAAACCTTCACAATCGTTGCATTTGTTATTTTTCACATAGTCCCAAAGATCTTCTACCTTCACTGGAGCAACGTCAAAACCTATATTACCATAGATTGGTTCTGAATCAGTGTCCGACCCAACACTAGCATCTAGTAATGGGTCACTGTCAACATTTTCTAAAAAAAGCAAGAGTTCATTTAAAAATATTGACATTTAAATTTAGCAAAATATCAAAGCAATGTTACTGCTTAATTAAATTAAACTTTTACTTTAGCGCAAAACCCTGTGTTGTGTTGAATTGTTAGTCTTTAAACGTGTTTATCTTTAATTTAAAAGTCATAATAAACCTCCTATGATAAAGATAGTTTATGGTTTTATGATTAAATGGCACGAGGGTATGTGTAATGAACATAATAGTGATTTATTATATTGTTAGTCTTAAAAAAGGCAATGAATTACATGAAAAGCAATTAAAATATGAAAGTGTTGTTTTTTCTCAATACAATTCATAATCCTTTATGATATATTCATGCGCATGCATAAAAATAAGTTATGGAATGATCAAAAGATTAAAGATTAAATAACAAATTACTATATAAATTCATCGTATGACTGACTATATACTCAAAATTGTATAAATGATATGTTTGCAAGAATAAATGATCCTTGGCGTACATAATTGTTATCTGTTTGTACATTCATGTATAATACATGTCTTTTATAAAAAACCTTTCGTTAAAAAACCTTACAACTCACCTCAATAAAATCCAATGACAGGCATTTTTAGAAACATAAACAAAAATGATAATTTGCAAATCTGTTTTGAACAATTGTTTATTTATAAATAAAAATCATGCATTAAAATAACTCGAAATATTTAAACACAATTTGAAAATGCATAGAATGCAAGAAATTATAGAACAAGTAAATTTAAATTGTAATTAAGTATAAACAACACACACAGTAAACTAAGTAAGGGTATGAATGGGAGAAATAACATTTAATGAAGATGCAGTCGAAGTAGTAAGAGAACAAAACTAGTAAAAGGTAGACATTATAATCTAGACAGAAGTACTTAATATTAAGAACATAAGGTATTTGGCCGTCTTAGATTGTAAAGGTAGTTTTGATATGAATTATACATCGTCGGCAAGAATAACATCATAATAAAACACAGAACATGGAACCATTGCGTGCATTAAGTTATCAAATGCCAGAAAAGGGTAACAAACAAAATTCCAAGTTACGTACCAATCGGAGTAGAAGGAGGTGTTAAATCAGGTTCTGGAATAATTGTTGGTCCAAAATTTGGCATTTCTGCCTTTTCACGCTCTGACTGCAAATGTTTCTTCCTGTAAAAACACAATCGTACCAATACAGTTCACGCAAATACATGTATACCATTTATCAAATTTATTAAATCAATTAGCAAAGAAAAAATTAAATAATGTAACTAATAAATTATAAATATAAAGCTTCATTTGTCCCTACAAATAAACAAATAAAATAGATTAAGTATTAAGTTAAAATCAGAAACATTACCCCCGAAACGGCATATGGGAATAAATTTTCAAATCCTAAAAAGTCATAATTATTAAATTGAAATACATCTTAATTTAAATCATATTCAAAACGGTAAGTCTTAGCATTAGTGTTATATTAACAGATTTTTGTCACACGACCGACAAATAACTTTTATGGTAGAACATAAAGTTTGGGTTCCTGTTATCCATTGTCAACTTACCTCCACATAAACAAAAGGAGGGCAACAACGAGAATGAGGACGATGAAAAGAATGAGGACGCCAATGATAACCGGAACATGACTGGTTGGTGGAATAGCAGTTATTGCACTGCGGGCTGAAAACAATATATTCAATAAATCATAAAGAACGTTTAAATTTTAATGACCGTTGCGAAATATGTTATTATTATCTTATGCTAGATGCAGCAAAATAATCAAAAACAATAATATTATCTCTTTTGATTTTATGAAACTACAAGCGTATCAGCTAATGTGATAAATGTATAAAAACAAAGATCCTTTAACTAAGCTAAGCAAGGATGAAATTACCCTAGATTCCGGAGTCATCTCAGCAATAGTTTTTAGTCAAGAACTGCTTATTATGTTTTAGAATAGTTAAGGAGAAAGTGTGTATACAACAGAAATACTTAGTGTCCTTGAAATTAAAAGGAAGCGCAAATGAGCATAAAGGAAACAATATGCTATGAAGTAAACTTACCAACTGATCCCTTGACAGCTTTTGATATGGATTTGCGAATTCCCTGATAATAGAAAGATAACGGAATACAGTTGCAAAGGAATGTTGTTTTTATTTTAAAATTGCTATTTAAGAGCCCTTACATACCACTTGTATATAGAACATAACTATTGTATATAAATACAATAATACAATAAGGTAATTTATCTGAATGAGAAGCTATTTACTAGTCTTATTTTAGAATGTTGTTTTTATTTTCAAATTGCTATTTAGAAGCCCTTACACACCATATGTATAAAGAACATAACTAATGTATATAAATACAATAACAGCAGTAAGGTAATTTATCTAAATATTAAGCTAATTTCTAGTCTCATTTTAGAGGCAATATCTTTAATACGAATATAATAAGATTAATTTAAATCTGGCATTTATACACTATATAATACTAACTAGAAAACCTCTCTCCCCGTTTTAGAGTATAGCTATTTTCAAAATATTATACCGTGTCAGTCTCGGCGTATGCCCCGAGCCATATATCGTATTCTTCCTGCGGGTGTAAAGGAACATTTTTGTATCCGCCATATGTTTTGTTATCTCCAACTACAAACGTGCCAGTTGCATCAGCGTTGTCTAGTTGAGCGGCCACATATATTGACGAGCCTTCTTTCTTTGCAGTATAATAGTCATAGTTTATGTCAGATACTGACTCTTGTACACTACGTTTGGAGCGCTCTGTAACCTGTTCTACTATTATTCTGTAAAAGCTGGAATATCATTAGACATTTTTTAAAACAAATAACCACATATTGAAAGTACATATTAAAACGAAACAAAGTTTCAATCAAACGTAGAAATTTTGTTGTAATTAATACTTCCGAGGAATCACATTATCCCAGATTGTTTAAACGAAAAAAGTTCTGAAACACACAATAACAGTCAAAGGTACTCCGAACTTCTTCAAACATACATCACTCAAAATGACAAATAATAATTCATTTATGAAAGATGAATAATGCATCGGTAAACTCGTGAATATCATGACCAACCTGATTGATTCGTCCACATGTTGCTTTATATCCAAGGTGACTGTCGTATCAGAACGGCCAAGGATGGTTGGTGCGGGAGGTTCTGTGGGATCTAATAATATATTCAAATGTTTGTTTCTTTGTTTGTTTCATTTTACGCCTTTTCTCAACAGTATTTCAGTCATACAGGCGGGTAGTTTCCTAACCATCGTTCCTGGAGAGTTACACCAGTACTAGACTACCTAACCTTTCTCCGTGCTAAACTACCAAAGCATCTCCCAGTCGTGTCAGAACGGCCAAGGATGGTTGGTGCGGGAGGTTCTGTGGGATCTATTAATATATTCAAATGTAATATGATGTACGTATTTAATACGCCTTTTATGCAGAAGAAAATGTAATTGACTGTAAGTGAATAATTATCAATATTTCTACAAAACATAAAAATAATTTATATCATGAAAATGACAAAATATGAACTTTATGAGATTTTCTACATATAATTAATAAAATGATTCTTCCGAAATGGCCTTACCGACAGCTTCCGTCCAGGCTTTAAAATATGATGTGGGCCCCGTGCCGATAGTAGAGCTTGCATTAATGCTACATATGTATTGAGTTGTAGGTTCGAGACCAGTAAAGTTGTATTTTGTCATTGATGTTGGAATGCGCAGCGGCTCTACTTGACTAACTGATGCGGTTTTCGAATTTGTGCACTTCACCTACAATAAAACAGTTTATACTTAAATTATAATTTAATTTAGATATCAATTGAGTGACCACTTGCTTGGCCATAATTTCTATCACTGGTTTTCCTCTAAATAATAAATCTTATCATAATATATATAAAAAGAATTTTGTTGGGTTTCATCTACAATAATTGATAAGAAGCAACAACTTACATAGTAAAACATAATCTCACTGATTGACCTCTCTGGCGGTTGCCATTCTAACATGATTGATGTTCGTGTCCTTGAAGTATTCCGGAATTTAGAGAGTGCACCAGGACCTTAAATATACATGATACAAGAATGAATAACAATATGCAAGGACACTTTGATCTGCCAAAGAAAAAACAGGAAGAAACGGATGACTCCCACATTCCATTTTTTAATAAGTCCACCAACGGACGGTATGGCAACAGAAATGAGTAAACGCGGGACAAACTAACAAGGGCAAATATATATGCTTTATACCTTACATGTTATAAGATGTAAACTCAACAAACTGATATTTTTTACAAGTTTTCATTGTATAAGAAATACAGAAAGCAGTCTTTTTACACATCAAACATCAAAAATAATTTATTATAAAATAGTGTATGGGACTTTTAGGACCTGAGTGTACTTACGTCCTTCTGATGTAGATGCTACCAGGATTTCACTGTATTCTCCAGATCCGGCACTATTTACAGCCTGTACCTAAAAGTTGTAAGTACAATAGCATTTATATCAACAACTTATTTATAATAAACAATAATAAAGAATTTAAGGTGTTTTTACATAAATTCATATTCACGTAACATTAATGTTGACTCATATTTGAAATGAAAGCAGCAACATATATCCTTATTAATTTCATGTCAACATTTTGGCAAGCAAAAAGACGATTTTGTTTTAACACATTGTATCCAATTCGTGTGCCATTTAAAGAAGCGCATTTCCAGATTCGTGCAAATATTTATGAAAATCGAATTATTGTCAAAATCAGTAAATATGTTATTGCCAATTGTGATTATAGCTGACTAAACGTGAATTATACCACATACCTTACCCATACCGTGTCCAAATATTCAGGACAAAAAGTGCTTACTCCTTACGCCAAGGCATATTATGATTAAATCCTAATTTAAGTCTGTGATAAGTCTCATTAATAATTATTGCTGTCACTTAACTGATGAATATTCTGAACTTAAAAAATATATCATATTGATATCAAACCAGTTAATAATTTTGATTGTTTTGACAGTGTGATTGTTTTGACAGTGTGGTTGTTTTGACAGTGTGGTTGTTTTGACAGTGTGTTGCAACACTGGATGCTTGTCACTTTAACAAAACTAAAAAAATGTTTTTTCTAAGGAAAATAATACCTGAATATTATAACTAGTGACTGGGTCCAGTCCTGTCAATTTGTATTTCACTTCTAATTCTCCTGATTGGTATTCTACGCCTTTCTTTGTAGACAACTCTCTGACAAAACCTTTCCAGTATATTATTGTATATAACGTCATGTTCCCACGTGCATTTGATGGGCGTTCCCACCAAATCGTTAATGATGTACTCGTCCGTCTGCTGAGTTGGAGGTTCCTCGGTGCAGACAAAACTAAATCAAGGAAAATGACATATGAACAATATTGCTGGATTAAAGCGTCTTCTTAACAAGATTTCGTTCATTTATATCCTACAATCTTTTCAGGCAGAAATATACACAAGTGCGAGCGTTCCATGATTTAATTTTTACCCTTGGACGCTACCAATATGAAAGCGTGCACGTGACCTGTTGCAGACTATTAATTTGGATTACAACTACAATGCATGTCAAATCGATAATCTTGAATTAACAATCTATAACTTAGTTGTAGTAATCATATGATTTCACCTGTGTTATCTATAGTTAATTTAGGCAGCAAAATACATATGCAAATATTGCCTCATATCTTAACTTGAAATGATTGATTGGGAAATGATAACTATGCCATAAGTGCATAAATTCCATTTCAGACTATATGGAAATCGTCATATGTAAACACTTAAATTAAATGAAACAAACAAAACGAACGCACTAAAATAACTTATCAAACAAAACGTTAATGAGAAAGAAACATTAAGTAAAGAAACTCTAAATTACCCGTTGAAGGTGAAGTTACACATTTTTCAGCAGATGTTGGGCTAAAAAATCCCTGATTATTTTCATATCTCATTGAAATACAGTAATGTGTCGAAGGTTCAAGTTCTGATATTTGGAACTGCTTATAAGCCCTTCCTGCCACGTGTGTTACCATAACATCTGGTTCACCTTTTGAAACTAATATCTGGTATTTTCTTATGCTATCACAACTCCAGGCTTCTTTTGGAGCATCCTAGAAAATAAGATTTGACAAAAGTCAGCCTTTTAATCTAACAATAACACAATTAGGCATATAACATTCAGTACATGCAATGAAATTTTCAATTTGATAATTTATTCAATTGGATTGAAATACATTTTCTATATTTAGAATCAGCTTTGAAAATACGCAATAACTGAAAAACGTGATAATGTACTTTTTTGTGGTATTTATTTTGATTGTATCGTAGGAAAAAAGAAAGAAGATTGTACCTCCCAATGTACTATAAGCTTGGTCTTTGGATATGTGTTGTTCACCTGATACTCTCCAGCTATTGTTGTGATTATCACACTCTCTGTCGGTTCTGCAATAATATTGAAATTACAGCATATTACTTTTCAACTATACGACTATGAATTGTATGTATACAATGTTATGTTGAATAAAATATATGTGCTGTGCTGTGCTGTGTATGCCAGGAACCATGCCTATATATTTATATTAGTTTTATGAAAACCTCAAAAAAAATTCATGAGTAACATGTTGTATAAAAGTGTGCACATTAAGTGATTTCACAAAGTATTAGGCACATTCTATCCATTGAAATAACTATCTATAACTTGTCACAACGTGCAGAAATATTTTTTTTTACTTTGTTATTTATGGTGAAGAATTTTGATGATAAGAATTATAGTAAATTACGTCACATACTCCAAACAATTCTTAAGTTTCATTAGATTGAGAATATCTATAAACTTCTTACATTATAAGTATGTTTATGAAAAAATTTATTTCATTCATCTTTTTAAGCCTGACACGTCTAAAGAAAAACGATTGCATAGCAATCGTAATTATTATGTGGTTAACCTTATTTAAATGAACAAGTCTTTTTGCTAACATTTATAAAATACGTATGGTTTTCCTACCAGCACATTTTGTTTTAACGTGAACCATAGGTCCTGCTGGTCCATCCATGGAATCTCCTTGTCTTCTTACCGAGATATATATGACGTAATTCGTGTATGGAATGAGATCTGTCACAGTAAAATTACAAGCAGAACGCTCGTAGCACTGAACTTCCGGAACAACGCTTAGCATTCTGGGAAATCAAATAAAAAACAAGGACATTAAATTTAATTGATGTATTTCCTTAATTTTCGTTACCATATTATTTTCTCTTAAAATCAAAATTTAGTAAAAAACATTTTAAATTACTAAGCATGACTTTTAGACATTTAAGATATTAATAAAAGAACTGATATTGAAGCAAAGAATACATGTTATAAAAATATTAATTAAAAATATTGATTAAGATTATTCATTACAAAAGGATTCACTCTGATTAAAATTCTTTTAACTACAGAATATGCTCATATATAAAAGCCATAACAGCCATAAATATGAGCGAAACATTACAATATAAGTCAATCAACATCCGGATGACAGTGTGTAAAGATCGGCATGGTCTTTTGTTAATTTCACTTCCTTTTTTTTACCTGAATGAAGACTCTCCTAATGTTCTCAGCCAGACACTGTACCACATTATAGGTGGATCCCCAGTATCACCTCGAGATCTACTCCAAGGTGGCCATTCTAGAGGAATCTCAGTTCCTGTAACCTGTTCCCTGATTATATTTGGTGGATTTATCAACATAGGGCGTACTGAAATAAGAGCGAAACATTTCCATTGAAAACAAATACTATCTACAGAAATAAAACAAATACCAAATAAGGAAACTGTGAAATAAGTTAAAGCATAAAGTAATTAAATATGAAATATACCCTCCTGTTCGTTTTTCATTGGATATTTGGTTTAAGTAAAATAAGAGAAATACATTTTCAATGAAATAATATCCACAGAAGTGAAATAAATAAGAGATAAGAAAAGTGTGAAATTAATTTAAAGCATAAAGTAATTTAATACGAAATATATTTTTAATTTCGTTTCATCATTGAATATGAATATTTGGTTTGAGTAACAAATTAGCTTTTTAGCAGTATTAAGAGCAAACTGAGATTGCGGGAAAAAAACTTCCTCTAGTAGAAAAGACTGTATAATTCATACAAATCTAGAGAATGCATTCATTGACTTACTGAACACATCGGCTTCTCTTGTAATGGAAGTATTCCCAGCAACTGCTCGTACCAGACAACTGTATTTCTCATTTGCATTCACCATGCTTACCTAATATGCGTAAACAACAGGCAATAATTAAATCATAAAAGAACGTTCTGTGTTTATAATGAATATATCGATTCCCGAGAAATTCAATGGGTGTCAGAAAATTGTTTGAATGTCCAACCGGAAACTATATATTCATACGATAAAACATGTCAACTTAACCAATGAAAACACTAAATGCGCATCGAATGCAATACATAACATTTTAAAATCTAACAGGTGTCAAAAAGCACAGTAGAAATTAATTTTAAATAATAGTGTCACATGGTTTGATAAAAAAATCTTTATTGAAAAATGGAAAATATTGAGGATCTGTAAAGATTTAAACTAACAAGTGTACAAATAACTGTATATTTTGATATATTTTGCATGTAAAATTATCATTTGGATTTTGTTTTTTTAACAAATTTCTTGATCTCTTTTATATGTTTCTTGAATTTGATTTGGTTGATTTACATAAAGGGGATAAATACTTTATTATACTTTTCTTATATTTCCATTTGCATTCTATCAGACTTGCATAAAAAAGTTACCTGAAAGAGACTGGACCGTGTATACGTAAACACGACAGACTGTATCAAGGTGACATGTTTCCCTCGTGGAGCTAGAAGTCTGATCTCACTATCACGTGGTGTCGGAAACGCTGCTACCGTACAGTTGAAAACCGACGCTTGTCCCTGATTCTCCCGCTCGTTCCCAAAATGAATAATTCTTGGTGGAGTTACTATAAAAATATTATAATGATATTTTAGAGTGATAACTTACAGAAGAAGATATTTATCAATTCCTTCCTATCATGCAATTCGTAAAGTTAGGAGCATTCCATCAAAGCGATAAACTATTCCTGAAATGTTTTTGTGAAAACGTTTGATTCCTTGTTTGTTTCAATTTAAATTGCATTTGTATTATGTTTTGCTTTATCTCTTTGTTCAGAACAATTAATTGGCAAAAATATTTAAATTGCAATATGTGCATCGGTGCAATTATATGTATTCCTTATTACATTGTATGTATATACTACTTTGATATAGCACTCGGTATATGATCAATAAACATATTGCAACATGTATCGTGAGATGTATTTTATATTATTGTTTGTGACCTATTATAAAAAATCTTTCCAGACAGATTGAACAAGCGGGGGGTTTAAACAATAACAATATAAGTGATGCAAACAGAAATCTTCAAAGCAATTGTCACTACCTTGTTCACAAAAAGGTGCGTTGAAGTACCCTCTCTGACACTGGCATTGAGGAGTTGGACCTGTAAACCTGTCACAATGATCCGGATTCGTACAATAACATCTCTCTGAACATTCCCAGCCATACGTGTTACTCAGACATTTTTCAGCTGTAAAAATAAAATGATAATCAGTTATAATGTATAATAGTACAAATGTTTGGCAGACATACTTGACTTGAAGTGTTATGTACAAGAAAGAAAATATTACACTTAAAGTTCAATATATTCTTCAATTATTACCCAAGTATACATTCCTGGTTTTATAATTATCACTTGTAAAACTCTTTTGTAAATAGAATTTTCTTTACTACTCAAAGCTCAATCCATCGCTGTCGACTGCAACTTATTTATATATTAAAACTTAACTTACGCGTCTGACAATCAAATCCAGTCCATCCAGGCGCACATTGATCTGATTTACATATTCCCATAATACTGTCACATTCCGTCCCACCAGCGCAGTGACATTCCCTGTCACAGTTATGTCCGAATCGGCTCAATGGACAATCTATAGGCATTTAAAAAATGAGCCGTGTCACAACAAAACCAACATAATGGGTTTGCGACCAACATGATCAAATCCAGCTCCATCGCAGGCGCAGCGATCATCTGATTTACACATATTCCAGTAATACTGATGCACATTCCGTCCACCGATGCGCATGACTGTCTTGTCACAGTTGTCGCAATCGGCATATTTGGACAATTCTTATAGGCATTAAAAAATATGTAATTTTAGTATAGTTGTATGTATTTGATAGGGAATGAATAACACTGGTATAAAATACACTTACATAAAAGAGTAAACAAAAGCTAAGAATCTGACCATTTTAAAGGCACTATATGCCTCAAAATGAATTCATTTTTACTTCTTTAGAAAGGGTAAAAAATAACGTTTAAATAATGGTGTTAGAGCATATCAAATGCTTGTTATCTTAAAAAGTAACATTGAATATGAAATCATGTCATGAAACCAGCGAAAATGTAAACAATGTAGTATTTTGATTTCCATAAAAAATCTACGTCACGATAATTGCACTAATTGCCAAAAAACAGCAACAGAAGAAAATGTTGATTCAGGTAATTGGTCAATGAGTATTTTTGGAAACTTTAAAGCACAACAAAAATAGAAAGCTTTAATTTGAAAAATAAAATCAAAAGCATTTTTGGAGCATAATGGGGCTTTAAGCAAATTAGAGCAATAGAAGCAGTACTAAAGCAAATATGTTTTCAAATCAATTAACCTTAAAGAGTTTAATATACATTGTTTTATCTACTTACTGCAGTTGTTTACATTACAATGTTCCCAACGCCGGCGTTTGTCAGTTGTATAGCACCAGGGTCGTGACGAGTCTTTTGTTGTCCGACAGGAGTTGTCGGGAATATGTCCGTCGGGGAAGTCATTCGCTTTGTATGAATGCCTGTGTGGCGTCTGTGATCCCCATCTTTGACAGATGAATAAACTTGCAGTGACTGAAACACGTCCTTGATACTGACGAGCTTTTCCATTGTAGAAGCAATTGTTGTCTGTAAAATATCACATACAAAACAAATCTAAATAGCTTTATAAAATCATTGCTCAACAATATCAGAATTATTCTTAGTTCATGTTTCTGTGTGATTCAATTAATATGCTGAATAGATTATATAGCGAAAACATGACACAACTTTTCCCGGTTTGTTTAGGTACATATTACTGCATATTGTTGAATTGTAATTTAAATGTCTTTCTAAACGCAAAATGTAAAAACAAATTTTCACTCACTTAACTGACATCCGGGTCCCCAGTAACCAGCGGCACATCCGTTATAGCACGTGCCAGTAATCTTGTCGCACGGAGCATCACGCTGACAGTGACATCTGTATCTACATTGGTAACCAAACAAACCGTCATTACAACCTTGCATCAAGTCCCGAACATCACCTGAAAAATATATAAAATCACATTCTGAATAATTCGATATTAATTGGCAATAAAGGGTATTGTTACTTTGGACGAAAATTGCATTACTATAATATATAGTAATAGAAACGTATTGTGTGAAGACTATACTTGTTCGAGACAGATTTAAACAGTAGTAGCCCTTTGCACACTCTGCGGCTAAAGCTTTATCAAGAACAAAAAAGGTGTTTTTACTAGCTTGTGTCATTTTTGAACACAAATCAAACAACAAAAAACTAATAATGATTATATTATGTTCTGTTTTCAAAAAAAATCAGAAAATATGAAGACATATTTTACGAACCAAGATTAATTTGCTTAAATGTCATCGTTTCACGGAATTATCGCATTAGATTTTTTTTCTGATTTGTAAAACATTTTTCTGACTAGGCGTAAATGTTCGCTTTGATACAAATCCCAAAGTGCCAGCGTTGAAATGGAAAATGATTTCACAAGTGAATACACAATTAAAGAGTAAAAAAAGACCACGCGTAAAACAATTAAGCAATCAAACACTCATCATTTCAGGCTTAGTGGAGTAGAACTCGCTGATTTTATCTCATTTTATTATGAAATTTGTCTCTCATTTCCGCACATGGATCAGATATTATCTTACTGATTTTATCATGAGACTTGTGTGTAATTCAACAATTTTTGGCCTTGACAAATAACTGTCATGTAATAATGTTGATCATATGATATACAAATGTAGTTAAAACCACTTTAGCAATGTTAACCAAAATACCATATTGTAATATAAAAGACAGAATTATGTTATCATTAAATGAAACCAATGTTCAAAACAATAAGTTTGCTATAATAATGCTGATAATACTGTATATATTTACGAAATTTGCTCTAATTATTTATATGATACGAGCAGGCAGAAATAAAAATCCGAAATTTAAACGGTTATGAACCAATATGACGTAATCGCATCACTAGGCGTTCGAATAAAAATCTAATTGTCTGTTTATTTGAATAAATGTAAAATATATAAAATACAAAATAAATCGTTGGTGGTTACACTGACCAAGCATACTAAATATCGCAATTACAATGTCGTACTTTAAGTTTTGCCCATTATTTTGAATTACATTAACCTAATTTGGCAAGACGTTTTGCAGGCAACATAACAAGCTTTCTGCCAACTGAACTAACCATGACGTGATATCCCTTAGATTCGTTGTTTGACGATACAAACTATCCAAGCAATCATCTAACCAATGTGTTAAACCTGATGGCAACAGATTATAAAAACAGCTGACAAACAAAATATAAAACTTTGTGTTTACTTGGAAAAATATCCACGCATACTAGATGCATGTTAAAGTCGACAACAGTAAAACAAGTTGAGTACAAATCACTGATTTTCAAGTGGCTTGAACAATTGAAAAACGAAAGACATCTAGGATGGAAAGGCTCGTAGCCAGAATGCAAAGTCAATAATCATGGCGTCAAGACAACAAGGCTGTTGAATAAAATTGCAGATACAAGAGCGCGATTAACTGAACATTAGAAAGTAAGCAAGCCGAGGGTCAGCTACTTTTTAAAAAATTTAAACCGTTTCTGAAATGCACCTTACAACAAAACACACTTTATTTTCCTATATCAGATCTTCTATGTGACTCATCCTGGTCTTTATTACCGTCATATTATTTTGTGATGTTTTTTTAAACTTCTCACTGAACTCCTTTGTTCCAGTAATTTTAAGTGTACAATATTGATAAATTGTTGCTGTCATAACAGTTCCCTTGTTAATAGTTGGCAACCATTAGCAATCTGTCATTCTTATTTTAAATTTGATAATTCCCTAAATTCGCTAGGGAACTCTGGAAACAAGGGGGTTTCCTTTCTATTCTGAAGACTGATTTTGTTAATATCAATACGTGTATGAAATATGAAAGACAGATCAACAAGGAAGGGTGGCATCCAATGAAATCATCGTCCAACAAAACCCAGCAACACTGCACCAGCGTGGAGCCTAGCAAGCTAACAAACAATTCAGGAAAGGACAGGAACAAATAAAACGGACGGGTGTTATTATAAATTATTCAGAATAGAAAATCCTAGATAAAGATCAACACTTATATTAATATTTTGTTTTCTGATTATTGATACAAATTAATCTCCGCTTGAACATAATTGTTAGAAGGCAACACATTATCAATTATACAGATGTATTGTTTTGTCGACACCGTGCAATGCAATGTAATTTTAAAGTTGTAAAGCTTGTAATTATGTTATCATTTGACTTTTTCAATATCACATTACAATTGAAGGCTGAGTGCAAGCAAAATCTGTTGATCGCATGGGGTATGAATAATTCATTACTTTATCCAGTATGAAAGAGTCTCTAGTCAGTTCTTTAAGATTTCATCTTTCCTTTCTATTGACGACATGTCAAATGATACTTAGATCAACTGTTGATTAGTTCCCGTTTTCTCCATCATCGTGTACTTACTCTGTAGCATGTTATATGCATTGGCTAATGACAATATTGTGTTCATTTGGAATCGTGGAATATACTAATAACGCTTATCATGACGTGCATATCCTTTCTATTTCACATATCATTATTATGCTAATACGATCGACATGGAAATAGACTATAGTAAAATCTGACTGAGAAGCATTAATTAAACCAAAACAACATGACAATTGCAGACTCGGTCTTATTGAGTCTATTCATGAGGGATAATGAAATTCACTGGAGGATGAATACCTCGGGTGCTTATCCGTGCATTATTTTTGGCACGAACGGACACCTCAGAAGAACAATCAACGTTCGGTTAGGAACTTTGATCACATGAACGAATCCAAAGTCTTTGGTGGGATCCGAAAAACAATTTCAAAGTCTCTGGTGGGATCCGAAAAACAATTTCAAAGTCTCTGGTGGGATCCGAAAAACAATTTCAAAGTCTCTGGTGGGATCCGAAAAACAATTTCAAAGTCTCTGGTGGGATCCGAAAAACACAGTCGTGAGAGGCAAGTAGTTTGAAGTCAATGACCTTAACTACTCGACCACGGACGCCCACGATAGTTGATACAATTTGAAATGGTATCATGGTCAAACAGAATAAAACCTTGATTACTAGTTTATATCATAACGACTTGATTAATGAATTATTCATCAAACAGTGGGAATTCCCTCGCAACATTATATCAGATAACATGGTCTTCTTTCATGTTTTTGTTTTTTATTACTGTCTGAGGAACATACATACTAAGATGATTTCCGCTGAGAATTATTCTCTCTTTTCATTAGGGCTTATATCATTAGGGCCATCATATAAGTGTTTGTTAACGTTTGTTAACATATGAGCCGCGTCACGACAAAACCAACATAATGGGTTTGCGACCAGCATGGATCCAGGCCAGCCTGCGCATCCGCGCAGTCTATAACAAGTAGAGAAACTGATAGCGAACAGCATGGATCTTGATCAGACTGCGCGGATGCGCAGGCTGGTCTGGATCCATGCTGGTCGCAAACCCATTATGTTGGTTTTGTCGTGACGCGGCTCATATTGTTTAATGGCTTGAATTACAATATTTCGTTTCTTTAAATGCCAGTAAAAATTTAATGATGAAAAAAATGTCTGATCGACATTCACGATAGTTAAATGAGAGGTAATAAAAATATGACAATGAAAAGAAATGGATAATGTAAAAATACTCAACGAAGAAGCTATATCTAACAATAAATCAATTTTCAAATTATAGAGTCTTAACGGAAATGTTATACTTTTGTCACTTTTTAAGTGAATTGTCAGTATGCCTCAAATAGTTTACTAGACGTATAGAAAGACCTATTTATGATTACTATGTTCAATTTATGCAAAGCAACCCTTCAGAGTGAGTACATCTTTAGGTAAAAGAAAAACACGCACCAATGTTATAATTATTTCAATGTCGTTTGATTTTGGTGGGTTTTTTTTTTCCATAAATTTACAATCATTCAGGATTTTACTATTTTTTAATTTTCTATAGTTTCTTTTGATTAATGTTTAGAATGAAACTTTGTATTAAAGATGCTGGATTTCAACTCCTACCCCAAAGTTCTAATGCTGGTGATGCATCTAAATTATGGTGACCTTTATCTTCGTTACGCTCATTCCTGACATCAAATAAATCTGATGTTTTCTAATAAATGACGTCGTTACCCTCATGAACAGGGACAGACTAAAATTCAATCAATCATCCGAGAAAAATAGTTGTGTCTTTCATTTTTTCGCATCGGCTGTATTAGAGCTTAAGAGATATAACAATATAACAAGCGTAGATTAAACATGCAAGCAAGAACAAAAAAGAACAACAGCAATAAAACAAAAACAACAAAAAAAAGAACAATCAGTAAAACACACAAATAAGTAAAACAAAATGAATAAAAAACAAATGAGATAACAGAACAAACAAACCTAACAATCACAAACAGATATATTGCTTAAAATTTACAAGGCTTTTTTAAATTTGAATTACAAAGTCCTCAAATATACCGGCAAAGATATGGTTATATTTCTAAATACCAAAGCAAGATAGAATTAGGAGAAAATCAAATGATATTACGAGTAAACAGAAGCACACATCTTCAAGAAATGTCAAAGAAATTCCTGAGGATTTATATGAGGTTTCAATTGAACCCTGGGGGATGAGGATTAAATCAAATTTCTGCTGTGTTAGCAACATAAGAGATAACGGCTTCAATCACGAACAGAAGGTTTTTATCTTTAGCGAACACGTTCATTAGAATGGTTTAATTGCACGACAAAATAGGAATCTATGTCAATACCGTTTTCAACAGTTTGTATTATGAATGTATTTAAGAAAGAGTAGCTTGCCTTTCGTAATTATAAGAAAACTGTAATAAAGATATCGAAGTAAAATGTTTATGATGCATTTAACATCCGCACAAATATAATATAAAATGTCATCTGCTTGTTGAATTTAAATGAAGATTTAGTGGTGCAATATTTTACAAAGGT